TTCAGTAGATCTCTAATCCCCTGTGATGATGTGTTTGTTTTTCTGTCTTTTTGACTGAAAGAATTTTGGCTGCCTTATCAGCCCCAAACTGCTCCGAAATTAGAGATATGTCAGAGATGAACCGTATGAGTTCTCCATGTCACTCATGAGTACAGATGTTGGGTGGCAACAGGGAGTAAGACATATCTTAAGTCCTTGTTACACCTTGGGCAGAAAGATTTTAGGCAGTGACTGGCCACCAAAATGGTTGTTTAAAATCTTTCTAAATGATGAATGTTTCCATACGATAAACTAACTTTTATGTTTGTAATCAGGAGAAAAAACTTAAGCCTAGAGCTATAATTTATTAAACACAGTTCTGATACAGACACAGTTGCCTCTGGAATTGGGTTTCGAAAAAAGAAATGATTGAAAAGTACCATAATCTTTCTAGCTGCTTGTAGTCTGCTCACCAAAATCACTTCAGAAGGGCAGTCTGACTCTGCATGCTGAAATCCCTATGCTCAGGTTTTGGATGAGTACCTAAGGGAAGGAACTTAAGTAACGTTAAGTATTGGTCAGTCTAGCATGTATCCATGCAGATTACTGACTCCCCCCAGAATAGAGCATCTTGCACTTAAGTTACTGTTTGTTCATTATCTAGATAGGCAGCAGTTATACACTAACAGTAAATACTTGAGATAGTCCATGGCTGAGTCATAAATATTGAAAAAAGTAAAAGATTCCTGGCCAGTTCAATGTATGCAAGTACAACTTTTTGTGAAAGTTTTTGAGTAATAAATAAAATGAAAGGAATCTAAGGCTACTTGGCAAACAAAAAGAGTGTGAGTTCATCAAACTGTGCTCCAGGAATTATGCTGCAGTGCTCTTTTTAAAGAAAACATACTCCCACTATGAAGAGATGTACATACAGATATCTTCACTGTGGAGTCTGCTCCAGCAATCCAGCTACATTTCTGGTTGTTTTTCATTTTTCCTCTTTGAATACTTCTCTGTTGTTTTTTTTTTTTTCCTAATTTCTTATAATTTCCTGAAGTAAATGTTAGTGTGCTTCTTTGTGTGAATATGCTGTTTGCTCAATGCCTTCCCCCTGCATTCGGATATCTTGAAAGAGTAGGCAAAACATACACTTAGAAACAGCATGCAAAAGGGAAATTGTTTTTATTTTGTCATCTCATGCCAGAAGCTGTTCAGTAAAATAAAAATATATTGTAACTGAGATAACTCAGTAGAAGCGTGTGCATTTAAATTTACTTTTATTCTTTATAGGCTAAATAGTAGTGTGTGTAAAGACATGTGTCTGCTGATTGGATGAACTGGAGGTGCAAATGCATTAAATGCTCAGGTTTGTTATTTAGACTCCGAAAAAGCCTCAGGTTAAAGTCACTAGCTTTGTTCTTTCTTTGATGTTCTGTGTTTGACAGTTTCTATTTTAAAAGTAATTATTAAGGCTTAATAACTAAGATGGTGAAATAAAATTATAGAGATCGTCCTAGTCCACTATGAATAGCTTTTGTTTGCACTATTTGTTTTGCTAATGTTTTCTATTTGTTTTGCTAGTATTTTGATCATATTTGCACTTCAGTATAATCCTTGAGGGGCAAATCTCAAAATTCTTAAGATTTGAGATTCAATGTTGAAAAATTGGTCTTTAACCTAAGTAATGACTGCCATTTGAAAAGATCCTCAGGTAGACTGATGTATCTAAAAAGTATTTTTATGCCTGAAATTTAAACACATAAGTGCATTGGTTTGTGGTTTTGCCTTACTGGCATCTTATCTTCTTTTTCTCTTTATATGTTTCCACAAATTCAATTATATGAAGCTATTTTTTTCCCTAGTTTTTTTATTTTTTTTTTTGAATTGGAGGATGGAGAGAAGGTGATAGCTAGGAAAAATTTTGCAATTAGTTATTTTTTCACGTAAAATTACAGTGTTGAAAATGAGACTTTTAAACTGGCCTGTGGTTATCTGCATACATTATGCATTGTGTGATATTCAGACATAGAATTTGCTCTAAGAAAACACAGAATTTGTTTGAGAATACTAATGCAAACATTTGAAGTCCTATACTGTAGCATGAGATATTGCTGCTGTTCTTGTTTCCTGAAGTTCCTCATTAAAGTATCCTCCTGTCAAGAGGAAAGGAGGATCACAGAGAGCAACATCTCTAGAGGTGACACTATGTTTTACGTGTGATTATGAAATCAGCTCTGTAGTTTCAACAGATAAGGAGAACTCTCATCTTCACCAGGAGTGCAGTTCATAGTACCTTGAATAAAAATTTGGGAAGCTTTAAAGTATGGTATGGTCTATCTGTATGGCTCATGTCCCTGTTGTATTAAACTGCACCAGTCTGGCTGCTGGACACTGCTCTAGAATACCTGAATGAGATCCTTCTTCTAAGAGGTGTTTTCCTGTGGTGGCACGTGGTGATTCTAGGTATTACGTCCATGGAAAAAGTTATCAGGGAACGTTCACCAGTCTCTTCCATGAAATGTGCGTTGGGCCAAGAGTTTCCCCATTCAAACTTCATCCTAAGCACGGAATATCCTTTGTTCTTTCTTTTATATTCAGTGATTTTAAAAGGTCTGCTATTCTGCTTTCTGGCTGTGGTTTGGATTTGTACATTAGGGATATTTGCATAAACACAGCTGAATGTGTTCAAGACAAACTCTCTTAACATGTGAAAGACATAATTGACCTCATTTAATATGTTACTCCTGCTTTCCTTTGTCAGAGCCATAAACTAGTATCTTCCTCCATACGTGGTCCTAGATATTTTATGCAGCTTGTGTGAATTTTGCTTGAATGTATTTACTTGCTTAATTGTTTAACTATATTTTTCTCTAGAGTGTATTTTGAACATTTGCTGGAATGGATTAAGTAGCAGTTTGTTTAATTTTATGTCCATTTTGTCCTGTAGCTATGCAAAGTAGAAAAAATAATGTTAAGAAACTCTTTTGTGGGTACTGCTTTGTAAGTAGAGATTGCAAATAAAAGATTTATCAATAAAAAATTCTTTTCTTTTTTTTTCCTCAAAACATACATAGGTATGGCTTTTGTGAATATTTTATATATACACATATATCAATAATGTCTGAGAGGATAAAATATTCTGAGAATGTGAATTCTCTTAAGAGAAGCCTATAACAATACCCCACAAATAGATTAAGATCTTGTTTTTTCTGTGCGGTCTCTTAATCACCTCCTGTGTGCTCCCAGATTTACTGATGTGATTCTTGTGGTTTTTCCCATAAAGACTCTATCACCTATGTGCATAAGCAATGCACATATTGCTTTTTGCTTCTTTCAGTGGATCAATATCATTAATTGGAAATTAAATCCCAAATATTTTGTTGTTTTAAATCTGTCAAGGCACAGCAGTGGTGTATGTGTGTGCATATATGATCTCACCTAAATATGAAAAATCTTAACTATTTCTTCAACAGTTGGCTTTATTTCTCTGTTACCAGATGCAGCCTATAAATAATTGAATACATAAATAATCAAGACATATTTATTATTTATCTGAAGGTAGTGGCAGAGTTTTAGAAAATAAATCAAAATACTGGGTAGTGTGTTGGCGGCTTGATCATGTGTTGAGATGAGGAGGTTTCTTGGGAAGGAAAGCCCAACTTTTAGATCTGTCACAAGTCATGGTGTTCTGTGTATGGAGGGAGGAAATACACCTGTGCATGTGTGTGCATATTCGCATGCATATATTTCACTCTTAGTATTGTGCTGACACTTAATGGCTAATTTTCTGATGTTGCTAAAGTGGGCTTTCAAATTAGATGCTTCAAAGGATCTCACAAAGATCTTAGTCATTTCAGAACAGTGTTATGAGAGCAAAACTGTGCTAGTGTGGATGAAGCCTAACCTAGCAAAATATTTCTTGCACCCACACAACTTGTATCAGTGATGTGGCTGCCCATGAGGGAAGAAGCCATATCTATAATTCTGGTGGTATGATTGAGTCTACGTTAGGAGCTTTTGCTAGAAAAGCTCTATTGGTCAGAAATTGCACTTTATCTCATTTTGACTGACAGAACTAAGGAGAAAAATGTCTGCAGAGGTGTACTTAGCCCACAAGAATATAAAGCTTTCAGCTGCCTCATCCTGGAGCCATACGAATTTCCCTTTAACTCTGCTCTTCCATGATGACTGCTATGCACTTTACCCAGAGGCTGATGAATGCTGCTTTTCAAAGCTGCTGTGCTGTGTCATTATCAGCAGCTAGGGCTTATGCTTAGTTATTATTATAATACAAAGGCCAATTTGTCAAACTCTGACACCTATATAAAAGTACCCAACTGCTGGTTTAAGCATCCTTAGGCACCTAGATTTGAAAATTACTCTAGCTGACTTTCTTTC